AAAAAAAAAAAGGTAAATTGTTAAACAACTGTCTTTACACGCTCTGCACGCTCCGTTGTCGGTAGCGTAGATTCGCAAATTCGACGTCGTTTCGTAAGTTTCGACGTAAGAGTCGCTGAGAACGCGGAGAAGCTCCGAAAGCGCCTCTAGGCAGAGCTCGCGCGAAGCTTTCCAAGTTGGCAAACGCGCTGTCGGTAAAACAGAACTCGAAGCTTTCCAACATACCGTAAAATCGTAATAGATTCGGTTCGGATCGATTCCTCCGGTTTTTCCACTTATCCACGCGATCGTTGTCACCCCCTTTGGATAATTTCCATAAGCTCGCTGTAACGAAACGAGTCGTTCGTACCAACGAAGCACGAACGTGTTATCACGCGCTACGGCACGAATTTGCATTAATTCGTTATTACGCGGTCGATAACATTTGTATCCCTTGTTGATTCAGTCTCCTTAAGCGTTTCTGGCCGTGTTAATCAAATTGATTAACGATCTCTCGACATCGATGCCTTTCTCTCTCTCTCTTTCTTTTGCTCTCAACTTTGTTGAAAAACGAATCTTTCTTATTTCACCAAAATACGAACGAAAAAGGACGCTCGAACGAAATTGGCGATAGAAGTAAAGATGATCCGCGTGGTTGATTATTTATGAGGTAATAAATCACGAATGGGGACCGTTTGCTAAGGTAGATTGGCCATGTTCCATTCGCATACGCGACTCCCAACTGTAATTAACGGCACTGTATATTCCGAGGATAATTACAATAATGTATTTCAGAGCCGGACAAGGTCGTCCCAGGGGCCGTTACCGGTAACCCCAAGTACTCGGTCATCGGACCGGCTGTCAGCGCTACCAGTAAGTATATCACTCTCTGTCCTCGATTTATTATCCCTCTCAATCAATAATTTTACGTCTATCCCATTATCGCTCTATAAGCTTTACAGTTTTTTCTTGCAAGTGATCTGATCGAGGAAATGCGGCAGAGAGAGCGCAGACGAACGATCTAAAGTTTTAACGGTCCAAAAATTAATTTTTTTGGAAAATTTGAAAAATTTATTTTTATATTTGTTTTCATACATGGTAAATCATATCGTTGAGAGGGAATTAATTATTTTTTTGATAAGTTATGTTAAATGTTACGTTGATATAGATTGTTATATGTATAATAGTAAATTTTACTTTGCGAATTTGAAGGAATAAATTGTACTCTATTGGATTCGTTTAATATATTACGTTTTTACGTAAAATACTTTTGCACTTAATCGTTGTTGTTAAAAAAACAAGGTAAGTGTAGTATAAATATAGATCGTGTTATTTATTGTCATAAGTTAGCCGATGTAGCTAGCGCAATAAATAAATTAGAAACTTTATTTTAGTTAATGTAATTCTTGCGTCCTTAAAACTACATGGCCTTTGAATTCAAAGTTGCTTTATATCTTTCGCCATCTGTGTGTTAGACACCGAAAGTTTTAATAGTGGAAATCTAGAAAGCAGTTCAGCAGAAAATCAGCTATCACCGAGAGAAATGTGTCTTGTAAAGTTAAATGATCCAGAACATTCTACCAATTCAAAATTTCTCTCGCTCGCGGAATAGCGATACAATTAAATCTATAAAAATATCTATAACGATTTCATCAATCGTCCATACTCGAATCTACATATATTTTCGTAGAATGTAAAATTCAAACTTATATAATCGTTCCTGTAATTCAATTAATCATATAAATAAAAAACGAAAGAAAGTCCCAATTAAATTATCTAATTTCAAGATATATTCGATACGTTTCGAAAATTATTAATTTACCTCACTCTCGATTGACGAACAATATCTCGTACAATTCAATTTATTATCCGAAATCAA